TTTTTATAATCTGCTGTTCGTTGGGTCGCCCGTAAACAGTTCCATAAGGCCATAGTTCCAAGGGCGAAACAGTTTTTAGGGCCTGTGAAGGCTCACTCCTGTTGCATTCTAAATGAAAAAAATAGTGATGAATTACGTCAGAAATGTGGAATAGATAAATAACCAAATCACATGTTTTTTAGCAAAGAACTTATGCAGTTGTGATTTGCCTTGAGTTCGTGAATATTAGATAAGGTCAGCTACTATTACTTGCGCAAAGTATAACATGGGCTTAGTACCGTATTGCAATGCTTTTATTATTTTGCTCGCATTTAAGTATTCCCATGCATCTGCGTCTAGTTTAACAGGAAAACATACAAGCAGAGTTAGTGTCTGATAAACTAAAAGTCCCAGTTGTCAAAAAGATTCCTAACATTTGTCCACAGCCAGCTGCATTTAATTGAGACACAGAACACTCATCTTCTAAAACTGTATACTGCAGTTTTGCGGGCAACTAAAAGCTCAGACACTTAGCTATCTTGCTATCGATGTTATTGCTGGGGAAATTGTTTAATGACAGTTATAATGAAATATGGTCAGTGATAGATGTACAGTTTCGAAATAAACACCAAACATACTTATCGTTATCTTATAATGTATGACAGCAACAGCATCAAAGGCACGTTTTTTCCTATTTTTAATCAGACTGATCTGAATCCGTATACACAGTGGAAACAGGCAACTCTACTTACTAAACTGGTCTGTTTCGTTACAGGCTTCAAGCACTATACTTAAGTATATCATAATTCTTTCAACTAAACTGAATTATACGACAACCAAGAACACTAAACTAAGCAAGTGTCATAGTTATTGTTTCACTTGCAAAGACATGTTGCTCAAAGTAGTTAAATGGACATTTTTCAGCCGATAAAACCAAAACACGAAATATAGGCCAGTTGAACTTACCTAAGAAAAAAAGAAGGATACATATATACTGCTTTCATACTGAAGACAACAGGCAGTTGTTCATAGAAACATAGTTTACAGTACAACAAACCTTTCTTCAGTAAAATCATGCACTGACAGTCTATCTGGAAACAATCAACTATGTGAATAAACTCACTATTACTTGAGATATAATCCCAGCGTGCAACGGACATACAGTGTAACGCAGTCGGACGTGGCGAATAAAAATTAAAAACAGAGCAAAATTAACAACATAATCTAGTTATTTAATTAAAAATACATTATGAAATGACAAAATCTGTGGTTACTTGAACGCACAAATGACAGTGTGCGATACATTAAGTTTACATGGTTGCGTTGCGGATAAGATCACCCCAGAGGTTCTTGAAAGCAAACTGATCCAGGCCTCTAAAAGACTTATAAAGCCGATTACTTGGTGCTGATTACATGAAATCTAAATATTGGGAAAACAGAAACATTTGTGGAACGACTCTCCTCAAGTCTAGAAGATTTTATGAAGAAAAACCTGTCATAGTCTATATATTCGTGTAAGAATCAAATACCTAGGTGAAAAGGTGGCATTTCAGAATTATTGGGAGAAAGTAGTAATACATCGCTTTTGGGAAACGATCACGGTAAAGCCAAGGTATTCTCAAATTACTTTGGCGTTATACATGCTTTGGAGGCAACCTCCCTTTGGTTCACAAACACTTTGAATACCGTAACCATTGTTTGTTGAGTGAGTCTAATATAGGGAAACCTATGGGACCTGATGATATTCATTATAGCTTACGAAAGGATTTAACGAGTTTTGTTGCAAATCCCTCAAGTATGTGTTTTAATCGATCTGTAATCAAAGGTAGACTACTAAAAGATTGGAGGAAAGCCGTAGAAAGTCGTGTCTTCAAAACAGGTGCGAGTGAATACGTCGTTCTTCATATCTCTTACAAGAGCTAGCCAACATAGATTGGTCACTTCTCGTTGTATAGACATCCTATCAAATATATCTCCAAACTTCTTCATTTCTGACTTCTGATTCGACTAAGTTAGCGTACTTTGATTGTGAAGGTGTTACAGGTAAAACGTCGTTAAACTCCGATTATTGTGTCATCTTTACCATCAAATCATCTTCAGCATACGGATGTAGGGATTGTCACAAGGAAAAAGAAAAGGCGCGCAAAGAAGAAACTGCTTATAGACAGTACTAAGGTATGTGAATATACGTTTTCAGTTCTGGATTCACATATCAACGCAAAACAAACTATGGGAGAGCCAAGTCTGAGCGGTGTAGAGGATGTAATCAAGAGACAAAATAAGGTAAATGAGTGGCTCACAGTCACATCTAAGGACACTAAATTGGAATCGGATTACAGGGAAGACACGATTTCAGGAACTAAAACTTCTCGTGTTAATTCGGACCTTGCTGAGGTGTCAGTCATTTTTCATATGTAAAGAGAATCTTAAGAAAAGAAACCAAAGGCTAGATTTGAGCACGACTTCAGTCACATCAAGTTCTTAATAAGTAGGCATCTTCAAGCTTCTTACAATAGGACAAAATGTGGATTCTGAAAGTACTCAGAAAAGCCGTCTATTGAAGGTCACTTTTGTTACAGTTGAAGAAAGAAACCTGATAATGGGAAGCCCATGCAAACTATATGGGTCCGGAATGTACGTCCGTGAGGACCACAGTCTGGTTGACCATATTAAGAGACGAGCTACAGAAGTAAAAATTAATGAGCGTCGCCTAAATGGTGAAAGAAACCTCCTACTTAAGAATTTTCAAATTGTAAAATATTGAATTAATTGTAGTATGTCGCAGTCCAGAATGTGTAGTCGATAACTTCCTCCTAAGCAAACCTAAGTTGTGGTGTAATATGAGTAAAAACCTTAAAGCAGGAGACTTTGATGCACCGTATATAAACTGGGTTAACTTAGAAGTGTGATAATCGAAAACGTCATTTGATTGCGAACTGTAAGAAACCTCAACTGCACTAGCTTTATTACAGCACGTTGGAGGTCCCACCAGATATGAGTTAAGAAGTTCCTCGTCTCCCTTGGACTTAGGCTTCAAACACGGTGATGACGATGGTCCAATCACTTTTCTCCCACCACTAGGTAAAAGAGATCATGCAGTCATTTTATTCAAATTCATGGCTGAGATTGCTTATCAAAAAGTTGCGCCAGGCCGTCCTAATATATGGAGGGCAGACATAGAGGCGATCAACTCCGCAGCATCGGCTGAAAACTGGGAAATCGACTCAAGAGCATCAGTACGAAAGGCATGCACTCGTTTCAGGCAGTTATACTATCAGGTAACTCAACCATATATACTCTGGACGGTTCCAAAGAAGAAGAGGCACGGCCATTCCTGGATAGGCCGGGATATTCGACGTTTACTAAGACAAAAGAAGAAATGTTGGGATGTTTCAATCAGCCTTTGTACAGCAAGTACGATGGGACGCTACAGATCGGTAAGAACCAAGTGCATAATTGAAATCCGGGAAGCTCAGAGAAAATATGAAATGCAGCTGGCACAATCTGCAATCAAGCAGCCTAAGAGAATATTGTCGTACATAAACTACAGAACAAGGATGCATCATTGGACTACCAACCTAATTAAAGTAGAGAGTGAATCTTAAATGTTAGAGGAAGATCAAGAAAAAGCATAGGCCATGGCTAACTATTTTGGGGCATTTTTCACTCAGAAACCTCCTCTAGACAAAGAATTAGACCAAAATAAAGAGTCAACAAACCACCTACTCACCGTGGACTTTGATCAAGACGATGTGCTTAGGGCTCTTAGCACCTTGGTCATGGAAAAGTCAACAGGACCAGATGAACTTCACCCCAAAATCTTGAAAAATATTACACAATATATCGTGGCCCCACTGACTGTGACATTCAATATGTCACTTGACCAAGGTGTGTTACCTATGGACTGAAAGGATGCAATCGTCACTCCCATACATAAAACAGGATCAAGATAACTTCCACCAAAATACAAACCTGTCAGGCTCACCAATGTCGTAGTTAAAATAGTGGAAATAGTAGTAAAAAAAACCATAATGATATTTATGGAAACCAACGACCTGTTAAACAGCGAACGACATGGCTCTGTCCTGGGTACCTTACTTTTTATACTGTATATAAATGATCTCCCTACTACAGTCTCAATGTTATTATACGCAGACGATATAAAAATCTGGCGAGTAATAACAGAAGATGCAGATGCATGCGCACTTCAGAAAGATTTAAATATTGTGATTAGCTGGTCTGAGAAGTGGCTAATACCTAGCATTGCGACAAAGTGTGTCTACGTGCACTTTGTGGATACAAAGGTTAGTAGGTATAGCATAGGGAGAGTGTCTGTACCTGTGGTTCGGTCCCATAAGGATCTAAGAGTGACAGTGAGTTATGGTCTTAAGACAACGGCCGATTGCCGGAAGGTCGCAGCTAAGGGGCCTCGAACCCTCCGGGACGGACATCCACCAAGTCAGATACTACTATGCTCACTGCAGTATGCACAACCTTAGTGAGAACTAAGCCTCAGAACTGCTCTCAGGCTGCAAGCCCCTGTTTAAAAAGTGGCTCAGATATCCTGGATAACGTACGGAGGGAAGCTACCAGTGCAATTATAGAATTCCGAAGTTCACCATGCAAAAGGCAGTTGGAAAAGCTAGACCTCAATAATCTGTCGTACCGTAAAACAAGAGGTGATCTGATGTTGATGTATAGAATACTAAGAGGTGATTCTAGACCTAATATATGATCTCTTTTTCCTCCCACTAAATCAGGATATCTCAGAAGACATAACAAGCGCGTAGAAAAGCCGACGACAGACAATATACACATGACATACAGGTTTTCACACCGAGTCATCAATACTTGGAACCTGATGCCCGAAGCATTGGTGTACTCACCTTCAATTGACTCTTTCAAGAGAAGAATGGACACTCACAGAAGCATACTAGAGAAGAAATAGCATATGCCGTAGGTCTTCTGTCCTTACTACACAAATTTGAATGTGAATGTTAACGATATATAGTAGATTCAATGTTCAGACCGCTTTTTTCGATCTCACCGCTACTTTGGTATGTTGTCCTTGAGTAGCAAAAAAGGACTTCATAGGCTGATTTATTCATCATACTCGCGACTTTCATCTTCGGAGCCAAGGTTAGCGATAAAACTGTGTTAATATAACTTTAGTCAACCTTCAAAAGTTGATAGTTCTGATGAGTCCATCCCGTACAAACCGTACAGTCCTTTTCCAAAACCACAAGGGAAAATAGACTATGTTATCACCCGGCTTGATGATTTAGCAGACTGGGCTAGAAAAGTGGGGTCGATTTTTACTGTTTCACTCCATAGAACTCAATATATCCGCTTACTTTCGGTCTTGCATGCTGCGCTGTTGAAATGATGCATATCGCTGGGCCTCGTTATGACATGGATCGTTATGGGGTAGTTTTTCGGGCTAGTCCACGTCAAGCTGACCTTTTAATCGTTTCTGGAACTGTTACAAACAAGATGGCCCCGGCTCTTCACAGAATTTACGCCCAAATGACTCAACCGAAGTGGGTTATTTCAATGGGCTCTTGTGCAAATGGTGGTGGTTACTATCATTATTCATATAGTGTTGTACGTGGCTGTGATCGAATTATTCCGGTTGATATATATGTCCCAGGTATGTTGTTGTTAGATTGTTCATTTTGCTCGCAGTTGGACCTACCAGTTTTTTTAAATTTGACTTGGTAGCCACAAACTAGAGGATCTAACCTAATTCCACTAAATAAATCATACTCAGAAGGGAAAAACACAGATAGCTCTTGAATTAATTACTTGCCCGTGTACTCGACTACGAGAGATACTTCTGTGAAGACTAAAAATACTACCTGGCTACTTATTTTATTTAACAGTTGGGGAGTAGTGTGGAATATATAGAGCATATCTCGGTCACTAGTCGGTGAACGTTCACATCCTCATCAGACATGCATCATCTCCACCTAGTAGCCTGCGAGTAGCTTCAGCATTATCCACGTGATGGTTGGACTATACACGTGCAAAACCGTCGTGACAACTACCAACAATCTACACATATCTTAAACCCTCAGATACCACTTCACATGCGTAAATATAGGGTTAGCTGCTGCGCGCCGTGTCCTTTCTTTTGTTAAGCGGATGGGGATGTATCATGTTTAGTTACTTTAACAATAATCAGTTATATATGACTAATAATTTCTTTGGGTGACAACCATTTAATTGAGTAAATAACACTGACTTAATCATAGTTTGAGATGTTTTACACGCTCATTCTGTGGATTCAAGCTTAGCCATCATCAATATAGATTAAAAGGTTCAGAGAAACCAACCTATGGTTTCCGACTAAAGTCGTATTCAGATGCCGTATTATTCGAAACCATTCAATATTTTCAATACCATTAGTTTTTTTGTTGATTCTCTGATTCACTGTACCAATATGAATTATAACAACTTGAGGCTCCGTACCTTTGTGCTAGGTTATATGATTTTCATGACTAACTGATTTAAAGGTCCCATGTTAACTTAATGCAGACTTTTTCGGTGAGACTATAATTTATGGACGACCTTTGAGCGACGCTGAAGTGACCTTGAGAGTGTTCACTTTATAGCTAGGATCAAATGAAGGTTATAAACCAGTGTGAGGAATGAGAATTATTATTTACAGTTTATGGTTAGTTTCAGGGATTAGATTCAAGGTTTTCATCACGGATTGACATCAGCTATAATGCCAAAACTGTTTAGCCAAATGGATGGGTAAATTTCGTGCCAAAATCCGAGACCTGTTATCTTCTACCTGATTGGTTCGTCCATAAATTATAGTCTTGCCACTTTTTCAATGAGATCAAACACGTTAAAATTGTAAGTTCAAATTATTTAGTCGCAGTTAAGTTCTACTATATGTCTAGCTAATTTAAGCACTAAATAGTAAGCCTAATGTTAAACTATTGTGTCAAATCGGGCTCATTCTTTTACTTGAAAGTAATAATAATATTCTTATTTATTTCTTTTTAATGTTAGGTTGTCCTCCATCTGCAGAAGCGCTGATGTATTCTATATTACAACTGCAAAAGAAAATTAAATCTGAAAAACACATTCAATCATGGTATAGGAAATAAATGATGAATTTATCTTAAGTGAAAAGAGAATTTTCAGAACTGAATTGTAACTCACTTTCCAAAATTGATTCACACATTAGTGTTTACCTGTATTTATTATAGAAAACCAAACCTTTCTAGATACACATGTGTTTATCTGCTCAAATTTACGTACCACTTTTTGGGTAAAATGTGGGTTGCACATCTGTTGTATTATTCGGACGATATAAGTTAACTTTTCCAGCCACCATCCATCCTCACTCTCAGTGGTGACTAGCGTCTAAGTTGGTTGAAAGAGAACGAAGGAACGTTAAACCAAGCAACGATATCGATTCATTATATTATTAACTGCTTATATTGGTCGTCTTGGGAATCACATACTTCTTTATGGTTCGCATACTAATCGTGGATCTCGAGTGATATAACTCATAATCAGTTGTAAAAGGTCAGTCGCATTCATCCATTTTTGAAGTGTCCTCAGATGTCATAATAGGCACGTTTCTCTCTGATCTTCCAATGTATATGACTTGATTCGTACATATGAACTAGTGGATACTATTCAATCAAAATATTTTTCTGTTATGTTGGGGAGGGGTAAGTTACAATCGGGAAATGAGTGTGTGGTTATTTTTTATTGGCCCAACAGCAGAGTAACTTACTCGGACTGCGTAACAGTATAAGTCAAAGTCTAGGGCAGATGGATTTATACGATATCAAACAAAAAGCCTAGGATGTTGATATCTAATTTTTTCACTTATAAAACTATTCACTTTAGTGCTTCAAACACTTCAAATTCAGATGAATAACTTCCAACGATAAAAAACAAAGGTTTACTAACTGACTAAACAAGCGGCTTGTTCGTTAAAAAATACTTTGAACACGGCATGTCACTGAACCATACCCTAAACAAATCATATATTCTCCCAATAAAGCTGTATAGACTTTAAACTGTATGGATAATTGATGAATGCTTAAAAATTTTGTTTTTGAAACAGTTCATATAATAAGTCATCATATTTTATAAAGAAATACATTATAATAACTGTATTGTGTCGTTCAAAATTTGAAATGTTTTGTATTATCAATGCAGTAATTGATTTAAACTAGAAAATCTATTGGTTATTTTGAAGACGGGTTGAATAGTTGCAAATTCTTTATCGAAGAAATAACGCTTTATTTATAAAAAAACTAATAAAAATCTCACATTTAAATAGTATCAACTAAAAGGTGGCATTTATTTGATAATGAAGTGTTATCGATAACAATTAAGAGAAACACTTTCAACGGAAAAGAGAAATAATCACTGGCAGTTTAAAAATTTTGACTAAATACAATTAAGTTGGCATATTAAAGTGTCACAGTTTCAATTTAAGCAATCAAATATTTTCCGAACAACAAAGCTATTTATTCTTTACAACAACAGTCTGAGTTACATAATCGTATACTGATTTGAGTGTATTTGAATTCAAGAAAATCTAGAGGACGTCAAAAAAGATGGAATTCATTAATAAAGAAAGCAGTGATTATATAGAATAAAACATCTAGACCGACCAAATATTCAGCGTTTCGTAGAATTCAAATTGAGAATGGATTTGTAACACTAACTGATTCGGAATTGTGTACGTTAAGTTTTTTAACTTGTCATTTTGATTACCTTCCTAATTGTAACTATGACGCTAATAATTTTGTTTCCGACCGTTGCTGCCACCTTGACTTAGTGGCTGGGCTTGTCTATCGCGATGAACCAATCGAGCTATACTGGCTGGGACAATCGTTCCTCAAGGCCTTCCCGCCAAGGCAGGGTTGGATTAGAAAAGGTTGATTGGAAAAATATACACTTCGCCGCGTCCCACGAATATCCGTCTCCGGCGGTACTGTCTCAACAAGTAACACAAAATGGTTGTGTTCGACCGGCCACAAACAGTTGATTTTTATCCGAGTTGTATTGACTCTGACATATTAACTAGTTTACTATTATTAATGGCTTTACTTAGTATTTTATTTATGATACAACATAGGATTCTCGGCACAAGGTATTTCTTTTACAAAAAAAGTGGAGGAAACTGATAACGGCATATATTCATGCATAAATCAATCAGATGAACTACCTAGAATTAAAAGCAATGTTTTTAAGGAGATTTGAATCTCTACGATTTTTTCAATTAGAAACATGTTTAAGAATACAGGTTATTGACTAGGTTAAGTCTAACAATCTATTCGTCACATAGTATATTTGCTAGATAAGGTACTGTAGGGTTTATATACTTGTAGCGTGGCGTCGAGTTGAGATTAACTATGAACACCGCTACCAGGAAACACGTGCCAGATAAATCAGAAGGCGAGGGTTGGACGTAACCAAATAGATCCATAAAATCCCCGAGAAGCCAAATATCAGAAGACAGTTAATGGACCAAGTCGAGGTTTATTAGCTGGCGATCTCGTGGCATCGAAAGGATACCGAGATCGTGCCAGGATACAACCTTGGTTACAGAAGGTAACCGAATTCGCGCGAAGTTACAATCAAAGTGTAAGCGAAAGAATGGAAGCACAAAATAGCTGTCATTAGCACAGTCAAACAAAAGCACGTTAAAACAAACACTGGTACAGTTGGTTATAATAATAATTGTTTTTATTAAACCAGTCGTGTTCTCGTGATAAACGTGAGTCACTACAGGAGCCCCCCGCTAGAAAGGGTTTACACTTTCGATAAATAGCGGTTTGAATCGTGGGACTGATCGGCTGATGAGCGATTGTAGGACGGAAGAATTGGCGAACAGGAAAGCGATCGTTGATCGTCGAGTTGCCAACGAAGGTCGTTATCGGAGAACGGTACCAGGAGCGATGTGTTGTATTTATTGCTTGAGTTGGCATGCTACACCAGAGTGGTTTGTATCCAGAATCTGAAGAGGGCGTTCGTAGAGGTGCGCACCAGAAACGCTGCAGACGTAGGACGAAACCACGTTGAGCCAAAAGACCAGAAGCGACCGTTACGACCAAGTTCGTGACCAAGCGTGTGCCCAGCATTCGAAACCAATATATCGACTGAGTGCGTTGACAAGAGCATGGGTGATCAGGCCAGCTTTCGCCAAAGTTGACTGAAGTCGACGGAACCAAACGGAGATGGTCGAAGGCGTGGGCTCAGGAAAAAAAAAGAAAATCAAAAAAAGAAGAGTGTAGCATACGTGTAGTATAGGAATAAGCCTACACCGTATCGGTTGTTGACTGTGCGACTATTCGCGGAAGCGTACGGGTAATCGTACTCGGCGACCGGAACGTGAGACGCCAGTCTCGTTCGCGTCGCGTGAGCCTGCAATCTCATCCGAAGTCAAGGGCGGCGTGGTCTGCTGATCTGGACGTGAGACTGTCGTCTCGTCCGTAGACGGTGCAGATGACGCGTGCTGTTGACCGGGACGTGAGAATGAGGTCTCAGATGTATCTAGCGTGGGACCTGAAGAAGATTTAAGGATCCCGCTAGGTTTGATAGGTCTAGCATTGAATCTCAGGGTGTCAGATAGGGCACTGTCATCGACGTGTGCTGGTTTGAGACGATCAATGCTGACGATCTCGACGCGGCCATGTCGATCAACCTTGAAGGTCTTTTCGTGACGAGCGATCACGTGAAGAGGGCCTTCGTAAGGTTGTTGCCAAGGTTCGCGTACCGAATCTACTTGTACAAAAACATGTGAACAGGTAGATAACTCTCGAAGGAGAGCGACCTGTCGATGTTGTATTCGAGTTGACACCGGAGACAGCGTTCGCATAAATGCAGACAGTCGATGGACGTAGTCTGATTTACCGAAATTAGGTCTGCTCCGTGGTGTGAAGAATTCTCCGGGCAGACGCAATGTCGTGCCGTATACAAGTTCAGTGGCGGAACATTGGATATCTGCCTTTAAACTCGTTCTCACCCCCAAAAGAACGAGCGGTAAGGTTCCGTGCCAGTCGTCGTTTTCGTGTGCTCGTAGAACACTTTTAAGTTGGCAGTGAAACCGTTCAACTTAACCATTTGGTGCTGGGTGGTAGACGGATATGCTTATGCGTATGCATTCCGTACCAAGCAGCCGGGTCAGCGAGGAGAATCGTTAATAGGGTAACATTTCTCGAATAAAGCGTGGAATTCATCATCACGCGAATAAAAAGTGACAAGGATTCGGTACACATACGTGTGAGTCTATTATATTAATACTATTCTTATCGTTATCCGTCATGTCGCGTATATTATATATAAAAAATATGAAAATATACGACAGACGTGGATAGATAAATCATAGACTCACCGAATTGGCTTCTTTGGAAGATTTGATCAGAAGTTGAGGCGTGTTCCAAAATACGGCTCACCAATTGTAGCGTGGCGTCGAGTTGAGATTAACTATGAACACCGCTACCAGGAAACACGTGCCAGATAAATCAGAAGGCGAGGGTTGGACGTAACCAAATAGATCCATAAAATCCCCGAGAAGCCAAATATCAGAAGACAGTTAATGGACCAAGTCGAGGTTTATTAGCTGGCGATCTCGTGGCATCGAAAGGATACCGAGATCGTGCCAGGATACAACCTTGGTTACAGAAGGTAACCGAATTCGCGCGAAGTTACAATCAAAGTGTAAGCGAAAGAATGGAAGCACAAAATAGCTGTCATTAGCACAGTCAAACAAAAGCACGTTAAAACAAACACTGGTACAGTTGGTTATAATAATAATTGTTTTTATTAAACCAGTCGTGTTCTCGTGATAAACGTGAGTCACTAAATACTTTTGCTTGGGCGCATGGACTCGGATGTATTGAAGTCTCGTTCTACCAGAAGATATACAAGGTGAAATATGTGAATGAAGGGGATGGTTAGTATCTGATAAGATAACACGTGCCAGGAATTTGCAAGACCTTATATGTCTATTCACAACTATATTAATAATGATCTCAAAAGATTCACTATACATGCTGCTAACTGCCTTCAGCACTCCGCAATACAGAAAATTATTTTCTAAAAAGTCTAAGAAAGAATAATAAGTAACATGCAGAATCGACGAATTTTAGGAGTAAATGTCGAGTAGTCCCAAAGGCATGTAGCCTCTTTATGTAGTAAATCGGACAGGAGACTTTCTTCGATAACAATGAAACATGAGGTGACCAAGAGGAAAGGTTGCACCAAGAAAAATAACTTTTGACAGTGTGTTTATCAAACAATCTCCAATGGTACAACAGTGCGTCTAAGGGCTGTCAATGTCTCAGACTGAAGTTGACACTTTAACATTTAAACGGATTAAGTATGAGACCATTAAAAACAGACCACGATACGAGATAAGGATTCATCCATTTTAAGGGGATGTAAAGAAGTAGAAATCGGTATACTTACAGCGAGATCGTCCACATATTTAGCGAAAGTGTTTTCTACGGATGATAGCAGATCACGCAAAAAAGAGAAGAGTGGATAAACAGCTCTTTGTGGCACACCATGAGACGGTACAGATGTCGAACACCTTCCTCCAAACACAGTGTACTTTTCACTTCGAGAGAGGAAGAAACATAGGCAGTTGGCCATCCAGCTGTCATTGTTTACGCTGGTTGACATGTTAAGAATCGACATATGAATAATTTTCACTAACTTCAATGCATATTTTCAGCCATCACGATGTCGCTGATTGTACTTTATTGTAAGTTGTACAGTGAAAGGTCATAAATGCGGTTGAGTAGGTTGTGCAAATTATAGAGATAATAGTGTGTTAAAACAAACAAAAATGACTTGTTGAGATATTTAGATGTCATAAACGCGTAGCCTAAATATTCCAACAATAACCACCTCTTGTAATAAGTTTGCTTTCTATATACCTAACTAATTGGATCTTCAGTTTATAGAGTTCAACAATGTTAAGTTCGATTTACCTTACCTAATTTTCTAGTCGGTGTGATAATTTCACATTAGCCAACTGAATATCATCCACTACATATTTTAATCTTAATTATTCATCAATTGACTTTCATTTACGTAATTACACAAATGTTGATCTGCCATGTTACACATGTATCCTTCGTCAATTTTCTCAACCGAATATTTATTTCAATATAACTGAAATTGTAGAACTTTATTTAAAGCTGGACTTACATGGCGTCTATAAACAGGTTACATTCATTTTTGACTAGTTTCACTTTTATGAATGTACGTTGAATTTACTGTATTTTTTTGACATTTAGTTTTTATTACCGCAACTATTCTGTAATCAATTTCGATTATGTTCAATTCTCGATAAGGCCTTTTATTAAATTAGTTAACAGAAAATATTATTAGAACAATAACAATTTGTCTATTTCTTTGTATCTTTATGATCACTAGATCACATGACAGACTCTAGCTAAAATGTTGATCGCTTAAATATCATACGATAGTTTATCCTTCCCCCCCTACATGTATGTATGTACTCCGTCTTCAGTAACAAGTATAGGTGGTCTATAGACTTATATTAATCCTTGCAGTTTGTAACACTGTGAAGGTCCAATCTCGCTTTGAATATATCAACAGAAGGTGCTGATATTACGTTTTACGGCAGAGATTATCAGTAATTCACTACTTGATGCGAGAAACGAAACTGCAGACGTAAAAGATTTGATCTCGGTTTTTGAACTTTATCCGAGTGTCCTTCTATGATACTATTCTATCCGACATACTATGTATGGGTCTCTAAAGCGAAGATTAGAACGGATGATTTTGCTTAACGTGGCAATTCATTTACATAAAGTAAAAAGGGAAGAGAACCGAGGATTGTACCTTGAGGAACCCCTTTTTTACAAATAACCACGTGGAGAGAGCTCCATTAACCCTCACCCTTTCTCTCCTGTCATGGAGAAAGTTACTTATCCAATATACAACTGTATAAAGGATTCCAAAACGTTCTGTTTGAATTTAAGACTAGAATGGGAGACTTTATCGAAGGCCTTACTTATATCCATGGAGATCACATCAACAGGAATAGCCCGATATTTAGCCGCGGCCCAGTCTCCTCTTGCATTGAGATGTGTCAAACATGATAGGCCTCCCCGAAAACCATACTGCTCTCTGGAGAAAAGATTATGCCCTTGCACATAGTTTATAACAGATATCCGAGTGATTTTTTCCATCAGTTGTAAAACTGATGGGTCTATAGTTACTAACTAAATCTACACACCCAGCCTTATACACCGGACTTATTATAGCATCTTTACAGTCTCTGGGCAGTCTGAACTGCCTCAGAGACAAATTAGTGTCGGTAATGGTTCAGAAATTACATTTGATATGGCTTTCATAATCCTAGGATGA